CTACCTCTCAATGGTGGGATGGCACTACTTTAAAGGACATCTACACAGACGAATTCCTTAGGGTAGGTAGACGACTCGTGGATACTTGCTCTAATTCAAAACAAAACAAATCAAAAATACTTTTCACACCAACACCTTTTCAAAAAGCTTTCGAAAGCAATTTTTCAAACACTCTTGAGGACCGATACAAGAGTCGAACTGGAATTTTCAAAGAAACTTTTTAAAACCCACAGTTGAAAAGCAAACAAACCATTTTTGAAAACACAATGAGCAAGTATCTAAGAGCCCATGGATAACCATGGATAGAAAGGGTGCTAACACCTTCCCTTTCTATAATCTACCTCCCGAACCGAGAGCAATCTCTTTAAGGAATTTTTCTGTGCTTTTGTCCTTTCCATTTGGAGAAAATAAAAGACGGCGGCGACTCTTGCTTCCGCGACATTTCGCGAACCAGCGTTAAACAGTCAGTTCTAGATCCACCGATCACAAACCCCGATCCGGGTCATGCACCCGAACCAGCGGCTTCGCTCCGCACACCCGATGCATCTCGAAGAACGTCGGGCCATCCAAGGGTCGAAAAAGAAATCTCTCTTTGAGGTCACCACTTAGGCGAATTTGGCCACCGAATAGAAGCCGAGCATGGGCACGACCTGAACAAAAGAGTTAGGCAAATGTGCCAATAAAATCGCAACCATGCACGGGCAAGACTCGGGGCCATAACTTAGGCCAGTTTTAGCATAAAATATTAAAACATAAACACGGGCAAACAATCAAAAGTCGAAACAAACATTCATTCGAAAAGCCCGTGGGCAACAAAACAAATAGAGATAAATCGACCAAGAAGGCCGACGATGTTCAAGAGTTACAAAGAATGGGCACGCAGGCCCAAAAAATAAAATATGAACGGGCACGCATGCCCCAATACAAACATAAATAAAGGCACATGAATCTCACAGCTAGACTTCCCCGGAGCTATCACCACCGACAACAGGAGACTCGGGCGGGGGCACGACCTGGCCGTCGATGATCTGAGACATATAACCCGCTCCTTCAGTATTGAGATCAGGATTCAGCAGGGCGAGCTGGCTAACTGCGGCCTCAAAGCCATCCGCCAAAGCACCAACGCAATCCACCTCGAGGAGTTGGATGCGAGCAACCAGTTCCAACTGACTTCGCAAAGGAGCTGTCTCCTCTGACTCATCCTCGGCAGGGAGCATGGCAGCCTTTAGTTCCTCGACCTCTTTGGCGAGCCGCCCGTTGTCAGCCTCCAAGCATTCCCGATCCTCACGAAATTACTCCCTCTCCTCGGCAATCTTCCCCGAGTTCTCTTTCTCCGCCGCCAGCAGCTCGGCTTGCTCGCGGAACATCTCCTCGGAGCGCTCCAGGGCAGCCTTCAACTTCTGTGAACTCGAAGTAAGGGCAGCTTTCTCCTGCTCCAGCTCCTTGATACGATCAGAATCGGCCCCCTCCTCGACCAACATAACGGCCATCTCGGCCATCTTGACCAGCCCGACCATGTTGGCGGCCAGATGCCTCCTCTGACTCTCCTTGCTCATCCGCCTAATGGTATCAGCTTCATCAGCACTCACGGACAAGGGAAATCCCTCGAAGAAACCCTCCTCTTTAAAACAAGGGGGCAACCCGAAGGACCTCACCGCACTAGAGTCCTCGCTGACCTCCGGTTGGCTCTCCACCTGATTCCTCTTCCTTGGTATCAGGTCGGTATGAGGCTCGACATCCTGAGCGTTCGGGGACCCTCCAGAAGCAGCGCCCGGGCAAGTTGGCGGGCCCATCCTCGTCGCCTGAGGAGCTCGCACCACTCTCTTGTTAACCTTCTTATCCTGTGTCAGCTTCAGGAGCCTCTCCTTTCGTCCGGCCATCAAACCTGCATAAAAGGATCCCGGGTTAGAGACGAGCAAATAACCAAGCGAAAAACATCAAACAAAACGAAAAAAGTAAAAGACCTAGCAGGTTCTTGGCCTGCCCGAAGGACTGGCATTCCACGAGCGCCTTCGTATCGATAGGCCGAGCCTCAAAAGTTGGATAACCATCTTCATCAAGAATATCCTTCCCCTCCCTCGTGGCCCATCGGGCGGGGAAGAAACTATCGACATACCGACAAAGGGTACCATAAGTCTCCTCGTCTTCGGTGCTCATCTCACCCGCGAACGTATGGTAGTACCCGGTGTCGTACTCGTAGTGACGCGAGGTCCAATGCAAAGGAAATTTGGCCACACGCCCTAACACCGGGCGTCCCTCGTCGTCCAAGAGAGCCTCCCCGTGATCGTCGGTCACGACCGTTTCTTCCTCGTATACCGATTCTAAACCCGTTTTGGTAACCGACCGCACAATGTACCACTTGTCCTTGAAGCCCCGGACAGAATCCATGTACATCCTGAACAGTCTCTTCGACTGTTTCAGGGAAACCCAACTGTGCCTGCCTCCCCGGGACTGACGATGTAAATGGAAGACGCAGAAGAACAGAGGTATGGTCGCCCCAATCTTTAAAAAGCGACACGTCAGTTCGAACGCCCGGAGGAAAGCGATCGAATTGGGGTGAAGTTGCGACGGGGCCAGTTCCAGGTGACTAAAGACCCCGACCTAAAAATCGCTAAAGGGGAGTTGTAGTCCAAGGTCCTTGAAAGCAATCTCGTACATGGGGAACCCGTACTCAGGGAATTCCGAGCAAATCCGTGCAGTAAGAGTCGGCCGAGTGACAACGAAATTCTTCTGAAAACCGGGCTGGCTACCGCCCTTCTCGATGATGGTATACGCACTTCGACTGCGTCGACTATAGGCTGAGGCAATCCCTCTGGGCTCGGCGCCCATCCATTCCAGCAGAGGATCGTCGATGGTATCGACCAAATTCACGTTCTCCTCGGCACTTTGGTCTTCCACCTCAGTGCGCCCCGAGGAACACAGTTCGTCCGCCATTTGTTACCTACAAAGCACAGGAAACCGGTCAATTGAGGAGCAAATCCACAGGCTCACCATAACGAACGGGATGAAGGGCGCGACAAACCGTGTCACTCCACGCACGACTAAAAAAGTTGGTGTTTCGAAACAAAAAGAGTAGTCACCTCCCCGACTCCCAGATACCACGACAAGTCTCCCTACAGATCGCCTAAGTGGGCCAACATCTCGACCACTCACGAATGTGTCGACCTAGGCTATGAACATGGCGAGCGATATCATAAAACCCAAAACTAGAGCTATGAGTTTACCGGGCACTACCACGAATTAGGCGCCCTGAATCATGAAGATCCCGGGCAGCACTGCGAGTCAAATACCTAAACCATGCATTTACCGGGCGCAAACATGCGTTCGTCGGGCATAAACATGGATTTGTCGAGCCAAATACGAATCTACCGGGGCTAATCCCAGGCTTACAGTCTCTAGCATCTAAAAACAATGAAAAATATCATGCATCACAGAGGAAAAGCAAAGGGGACAAGACGCTTACTTGGAATCAGGAAAGAGGTGCGACGGCGGAAAGGGGAATCAGCGACGGAGATCACGGCGGTCCTATGAATATCTGGGAAGAACAGCAGCGGCAGAGGCAGAGGAAAGAGGAGAAGCGCGAAGAGGAAAAACATGTTCTGGGGCCCAAGGACCCTATTTATAGTGATGACGTGGAATATGAAACGTCACCCCGGGGAACCACATAACTACCCTCCTCGACGCATAGCTCCCCTAGGCAATGATGACCCTATCGTCAGTAGGGTGGCGGTACGGCTCCCAAGAGATGCCTCGTATGCTCAACGAACACAGCCCGTCGAGATTCCCCCGAGCACTCCTCGAAAGGAATTATCTCACGAGCCCGACACGGTGGAAACTCCTCGAGCAAACAGCGGGGAAATGCACCTCTTATCCGGGCACGAGACCCCGTGGCGAAGGCGATCTAAGATCAAGTCATGGCTCCTACTCCAGGAACCACGACTTGGGGGGCTCCTGTTCTGGACTGGGCCGGGCTGGCCCAAAAGGCAAGGATGAAGGCCCAATCCAAACGACCTTGTAGGGGGTCGCGCCGACCAAGAAGCTACAACCATGCCCGACACTATCCGCTAGTGCGACATCCCCGACGCATTGCAGTCCAGCTCGACCTTAGCTCGAGCGCTCTTCGTAGGGCAGACCACGACCATTATGCCACCACCAGGTTTCCGAAAAGACCGCGTCCCCGTCCGCCCGTACTTCTCGCAGAACACCCAAGAAGGAGACCACGTGCGGGTCCCCACTACACACGTAGAACCTGACAGTTCCTTCATTTGGGCCAAATCCTTCCCGGCCCAATGAAGGGACCTTGGCCCAACGCTGGGGGCTATAAATACCCTCTGTTCCCAGAGGGTCAGATATTGATTCTTTTACCCATACTCATACTTTTGCCTGCTCGTACTCTCACTTACTTCAGCATCGGAGTGCCTTGCAGGTACCCCCATCTCGTTCAAACTTCAATTCGGAGCCAGTCGTGACAGTCCAAGTCTGATCAGGTAAGATCACTTAACATATTTTCCTCTCCCGTCTTCACCCATGTAATTTTATTTTATTTTCGTTTTCGCTTCCAAATTTCCATTTCATTCTTTCCGTATAAAATTTAAATCAAGAACAAAAAGACTCGCAAGAAAGTTTATGAACTAAACAAGTGGATATGATCTATTATTTGTTATATTTGATTTTCATCTTTTCTTAAATATTCATGTAAATATAAAAAAAAGGTTAAAAACACAAAACAATAGTGCATTTAAATTTATTTTTTCTTTCAAGATGTTTATGAACATGGTTTGCTATAGATTGTTGGATTTATCGGACAAATTAGACTAGTCCAAAGGCAAATTGTATGGTGCTTTTCCCGCTCTAAAAGCACTCAATTCTAATCCCGTTTAACCTAGCACCCGCCACTCAAATTCAAGCACGTCTCAATTCGTCTCCACCATTCCTCCCGTACGTGCCAGCAACCGCCCTCTCCGAACCGCCGCGAACGCCGCCGCGTATAGCTTTCTCCAATGGCTCCTTCTTCTCCGAGTGAGAGTTGCCCGCAACCTCTTTCAACCGCAGAGAACGATCTCCAGGTTCTTTTCCCCCATTTATCATGTTCCGTTGCTTTCTAGGTTTTCTTCTTAAGTTGAAATGTTGTTTTATTCCAAGTATTTCTTTCAGTAATCTTTTGTTTGTTTTGATAGCCATTCTTTGTTCTACATAAAGCTTCACATCACGGGAAAGATAGAACATCAGCAGGACAAGGAAAATCTCGCAAGAGAAATAAGCTTTCGCCTATATTGTCACAGAGTGCAAATAAACCAGAAGGAAGTTCAACCGAAGAATGTGATCGCTATATGCGCCGGAAAATGCAGATTGAAGCTTTTGATATTGTTTGGACAAAAATTGAATCTACCATTAAGGTCATCTAAATATCAATATTTACCCCTGAGTGATCCGGTAAGATGATTATTGAGTAGTTTTCTTTCTATTGCAGGATGTTTTGAGAGACCTCAATGCTAGTGTATTCAATAATATACAGCAATGGGTTATGGAGTGCTTTGATGCTATTAGATTGGTTGGAGAACCTAGCATTGCTGAAGCAACTCGGTCTTTTCCTGTTCTAAATAATACTACTCCTTTGAAGGTGTACAGTGCATTAGTTATTACCAGTAAGTGTTATCACATTTTCGATAAATACTATGGATGCTTTGATAGTCAACCAATTCTATAAAAATGTAGCCTGATATTTTTTGGCCATGAACTCTAGTATGAAGAATGAAAAAGAAAAACCATTTATATCTATAAAATCCTGATATTGAACTATGATTGGCAGGAAACATAGAGTTTGTTGATGATATAATGACATTTGAAGAGCTTGGCCTTTTCTTGAAATCCCATGGATGCCATGTGACTAAGCTTTCTTCAATGGAGTTTTCGTTAAAAAATGGGATTGCTGGTTGCTTGAAAGCGTTATTGCGAGAGTTTATAGGGAGTTCTTTCGACGTGGGTGTTTCTATGAACTTGATATGTATAATTAAATTAATTCTATCTACTGCCACTGTCTCCTTTACTTTTAATTCTTTATCTTGCCGTTAAGCAGCCAGCTGATATACAAACCTTAGCGTCATGGTATAGAGAACAAGACAACTACAATAAACCACTAGTGCTGATGATTAATGATTTGGAAAGGTGTTGCGGATCAGTCTTAACTGATTTTATCCTTATGTTGAGGTTTGTTTTAGCATCTTTTTTAAGTGTGTATGCATGCATACTTGTAACCTCGTCTGTATCTGTGCATCTTGAATGTTTTTGGTTATTTTAAAGCTTCGGTCAACTATGGCGGAGGTTTCACCATGTACTACACTAACAAGTAACCACCAAAGTTTTATTTCTATAGTGTGCTTAGTTGCATGAATTTGAACACATTGTTGTGTTTTGTGAAAAACACTTCCTCTTACGGTGTATATAGTTTATTGTATATTTCTGACATTTGGAGATTGTAATTTATTTATTTTTATATATAATATAATGGTAATCATATGTATTGGCTCTCATCTTTTAACATTTTTTTTATAATAGTGAATGGGTTGTCAAGGTGCCAATCATCTTAATATTTGGAGTTGCAACAACAGTGGATGCCCCAAGAAACATTTTTCCATCACATGCTCTTGAATGTTTGTGCCCTTCTATGTTTATGCTTGTAACACCAGCTGAGAGAATGGATGCAATTGTTGAATCTGTTTTTATAAAACATTGCACCACATTTAATATTGGTCATAAAGTGGCGCAGTTATTGAGAAACTACTTCATCAACCAGGATGGGACAGTAACATCTTTTATAAGAGCTTTGAAGGTTAATGGTGCAATTTTTTGGTTACTAACAGTTCTCTGTATTGCCATTTTATGAATTACATAGACAATACTCTGCTCATAATAAGTGTCTCATTTGCATCTTTTCTATGTTTCAAAATAAATGTCTCTTTAGAATATCAATACAACATTTATTATTTTTTCCCACTACTATATTCATATTTATTAGCTTTCATGCTTTTCAACTACTCTACTAACTATAATAAATAAGGGTGTTTTAGTAAATAATACTAATTTTATCATTAAAATCAACACATCTAATCATTTTCTTAAGAACCGCGCAAAGTTCAAATGAGACATTTATTATGAAACGGAGGGAGTAATAGGATATATGACCTAGTCTTTACATGTCAAATTCTTTTACTTATCTTTCAGGTAGCATGCTTATTACACTTCTCTATGGAACCTTTGAGTCTCATACAAGGGAGAGTTATCGTTGAAGATCAGGTCGGTCTTAAACTCCACAAGTATTTGAATCACTTTTCTTATTTTGCTCTTCAAATATGATCCTAGGGTCATTTATAGTTATTTAGCCCAAGCTAGTTTAGTTTTCTTCAGTTGGTTTAGTGTTTGATCCGTTCTCTTGTTACTAAAATTTAAACATTTTAACATATGGAAACATGTACTTAATATTTTGATTAAATGTTATGACTGCACTACCCGGTGTGTCGCAGATAAAGCTGCGCTGCGGCAACCCCAAGCCATAAGTAACAGATTAAGTTGCACAGTTTATGCATATCCATTGCATCGGCTTCAACCAATGCTATTACACATGGCTATAATTTAGTTGATAAAAAGACAAACTTTGCCTTGAACTTTTTCTTGCTCAATATTTTAATAAATTCTTGTCATCTTGTTCCTTTTTTATTATTATTTTAATGGTTGGATAATAATGGTTTCTCAGCTGAGAAATTCTGGATTATCACCTGAGACAATGTTGAAATACATGGAGGAGCTTCCATCACATGCAAGGTATCACACTTTACAGATTTTCACGTTCTAATTTTGATTTTTTAATGGAAATAACAATGATTTCACCTTAGTTATAATTTGTCTAGGAATAAAATGGATGATCAGACTAACAAGAGCATGGCGGAGGGTTTGTCAGAATTGCTGACAGTGCAGAAACTATGGAGCACTGTGGTTCTTGTAAGATTTAGGAATTGCTTTGAAAGACTTTTGCACTCATCTTCTGTTCTTATTGGTCAAATTCCAGTTTTTTTTAATCTATTGATGACAGTCCAAATAATACAAAGTAACTTTTCAGTATATTTTATATTAGTGTTTAATTCATATACATAAATTATTTTACACTATCAAACAAAGTCTGGTCCGGTATCAGAACATTATAAGAGCTGGTTATCCAAGAGTGAAGTATCCCAGAATAAAAACAAAACCAAAATGTGGAGAAGACTTTGTTTTCTTGTTAAGGAAGTATTGATGCCATGTATTTATAAATGTTTCATAGTTATTTAATGATGTTTTGAAATAGATATCTTTTCCTACGAGCGTGCCGATCTTGAACTTCATTTTTGCATGTTTAAGGTTTCCTGTCTCTGACTTGTTTATCCTCATATTATCATCTGTGTTACTAGTTAGTTTCATCTCGCAATAAAAAAATATCTTTTCCTAATGAAATTGTTTGGCAATTAGTTGTTAATGTGGATGAGTTGGAGTTCATGATATTGAATTATCCTTTTGCCCAGTGCCTATATGAGGCTGGAAAATATAGCGGAGTCCGGCTGCTGGATTTGTTTTGTGAAGCACTCAATCATGTTTTGTATCCATCAAGGGATTCTGTTTGTAAGAAGAGGGATGAAAAAGACCATGACTTGTCCTTAACAAATGATCCCTGTCAGCAATATTCCATCATGCAAAGTGGAGGTTATATTTGCCAGATAGTACGCAAAGTGAGGTAACTAGGAGAATGTCACTTGATTCTTTTTATTTACCATAAGAATCTTGCTGATGCGGAGCAATATCTGCTCTTAAGAGAAAACTAGTTAATGCACATTTAAGTCTTCATACATAAAACAAGTATTTTCATGAGATATAAGTATTTACTATAGAGGGATAATACTATTAATCATCTAAAAGACTGTTTATATTGAAGAGCTGAGAAAATGGGCATAGTAAAAAGACCAACAATTTAATATTAGCATTATTTTCATATAAGTTTAATATTTGCATTATAATTGAAGTATAAAAAAATATTAAAGTTTAATATTTGCATTATAATTGAAGTATAAAAATATATTAAAGTTTAGTATTTGCATTATAATTGAAGTATACAAATATAGTAAAGTTTATTATTTGCTTAAACTCTTAAACAGAAAAAGGAGGGAGGATAGATAGATGTCAAAAAATTGCATCCAAAGCATACAGTTATTAGCTACCACCTTATTTTACTGCGAGATATCTAATAGTTGAAAAGAAATTGAATAATTGTAACAACCTAAAAGAAAAGTAGGGTTCCAAATAACGACAAACTAAAAATGATAACGTCTTCTGTCTTAATTAAAGCCCTAATGATAATCATCGAAATCAAATTGCAATTTTCATTTCTTTTTTATTTGTGCATCTAAACCTTTCCTGGTGAACTTTAACATCCACTTTCTAAGTATGAATGCTATAGATATGTCTAGATTTTGTTGATTTAGACACTTCACCCAAATCTTATTTTTGTTTAGTTCAAATATCAATAGACTTCTGATTGGAAATTATACAGGGATCTCCCTTCAGGAAAGCTAGATCAATTGATTGAGAGTTGGGAAAAACTTACAGTAGATATTTCAGAGGTATGTTTACACTTGAATATTTGTTTGCTAGGAATTTTGATTTTATTTTCTTGTCGATATCATGTTTTGGAGTACTTCAGATCCCATTATTGAATATTGGTATCTTATGATGAAGTCACTTATGTTCTCTTTTTAATGCCTGCCAACACAAGAAGGTCAGCAAACTTGTTGTGCCCATTGACCTTAATCTTCTTAATCTTCTGCAAGTGCATTGCTATCTTGAAAGGTTATCTATTACTGATAAACTAGCTTATAAACTAGAAAGGATAGATTTGGTAGTGTGAGATAAACCATCTATAAGATACATTTATCTTATGACATAAGAACTTATGATTTCTGTAAGTGTTTAGAAGATCTTGTTAAAATAACTTATAAAAAACGCGCATAAAGTGTTTTCATAAGCTCTTCTAGATAACTTATAAAAAACAACATAAAAGAGTTTATGTAGAGTTTACACTCATCTCCTCCTCAATTTCAGAAACAACTTGTACATAAGTTATAATAAAATAAGAGCTCATCGAATAAGTTTCTAATTAATCTTTTTACTCATATATGCTCCTTAATAAAACTAGTTATGCGGGACCAATCATTTTACTGAGTCTGTGAATTACATCAGAATCGAGATTAGCATGTTTAAATTGATCTGTTTGTACATGGAGGACTATTTTTTTGGGAGAACTACAATACAGTTTATTGATGCCTGGAAAATAAATTAAGATACTTGTATAGACGAGTGATTAATATGGTTTAAGTAGCATGCATTAGTGTCAATATGGTTACTGGCACTGTGTCTAGTTACCGGCTTTTTCTATTAGAATTAAACTTAATAAGAGGTTACTTTTTGGTTAATCTACATCTTTTATTGTTAGGGATGGTTTGGGGAATATAATTATCTCCTGATTTCTTGAGATTTCTACGTGCATGAAAAGAATGAGCTCCATGATCGGTAAATGGGTATAGAGTTTTCTACAAGAAGATGGCAATATGTCATCGGCATATGATTTTCTAGAGTGTTGTTCTAAACAGAACGGGTGATGCTATCCCATTGAGCATGGCTACTCATTGGATGAGAGATAAAGAGGCATAATATTGTGACATGTGTTTCAACTACAAAACAAAGTCAGTTTTATACGGCCTCAAGAGAATAAGTACCAAATAAATATAAGAGATATTATTCGTATTTATAAGATATTTTGTGATATGCCTGTACAATAATCCTGTACAATAATATATTTTCAATATAGTGCAACTTGAATTGATTCCCGATCAAAGCTAATAATTACCAAATAATGATTTCTTGCAGATTTATGAGAAACTGAAAATCTTGCAATCTTCAATAAGATGTAAAGATGGAAAGAGTTCACTCAGGAATTCCAAGGACATTTCCAAGTAACATTCTATTTCTGTAGTTCGTTGTTATTTCCTGATAGATCATAATTTAATTGTAGATATTAACTGGTCATGGGATTGAGGAACTTTCTTCTTTGTTAAGGGTGAAAAAAAAAATGTCATTCAAATGCAGTGTTTCCTTGGTGTATGAGATGGATTCCTCAAAAGATAAGAATAAAGTCTGAAAATAAATAATTAAATTGGCCTACTTTGAAACAAATTATATTATTCTCTAAAATGATTTTTTTATTCTGGTAACAGTAGTAGTTGAATTATAATGCAACATGAAATGGGTGTATAGTTAGGATCTGAAACAAACAAACCAATCATCCTATTAATATACTAAAATTAGGAAACATATCATACTAAAATAATAATAGTAATGACAATGTAAAAAACTAATATAGTAAGATCAGTCCCATCTCGCAAGGGAATTTGGGCAGTTTTATCACAGGAGGGCACTGGAATGACTCCCTTTAAAGGCTGTATGTGGAAGGGAGCCTCTCTCTTTTATTTGCGCCAGTTCTTTTCCATCAAAAGTGGAAGCAATGAATAAGTTGTCTGAGTAAAGATATTGCATTCTGAAATAGAGCAATAATTTGATGATGGCGCAACACTGGATGAAGCAATAAACATATAAGAAATGCAGGGAATTACTTTGAGGCGAGAGATTGGATGTAAAGCCCAACAAATCAAGTTGAAGTCGTTTGCCAAAAGGCAAAATGAAAAACTGGCCTCTAAATGTTATGGCCAATTTAAAATTCTGGGCATAATAGGAGAGGTGGCATATGAATTACAGTTTCCTTTGACTAGCAAAATCTTACTGCAGTGTTTTATGTCTGGCTGCTCTGCTCTTCTGCTTGGGATTAATATAACCCTAAGATTAGAAAGTTTGTATGAGATACTGTATTGTCTTCTTTGCTTTGGTTGTCACTTGACAAGAAGGATTTCTTGTCTGACTGATGCATACAATTCATTTCTACCATTAGAGTATTTTTTAGTAGTTACTTAAATTATTGGTTTTCTTATTTTTATTGTTTAATTGTTTATATTTTTAGGAGAGGTGTGTCCAAGGGTTCTATAAATAATGACAAGGACTCAAGAATGTCTAACTTGCAAGCTATTGCATTTCTTGATGATTTAGTCAGGTAATGATTAATTTTGCCACCATGTTTCATTTTTTATGTAAACATCTAACAATCATGTATTGTATTGTGTTATGCCCAAGAATAAACTTGCTAACTCATACAGCCAAACTGACTTGTTTATTTTTGTTGACATCCTTTTATGGGAGAGATGCCTTCGTTTGTAAATCAAGCTAAAAAAAAGTAAAACACTCCTCCAATGAAAAGTAATAGTCTTCTCTCAAATATCTTCTATTCCTTTACTCCCATAAGTTTTCTACACCCCCTTATCCGTCCAACAGAGCTTGGCCTGTTGCCTTCTTTTTTGTATGGCTTTGCATTCAAGAAATAGAGACAATTACTTTTTTATTGTGATGTATCAAAGTTAATCTTCCATTTTTCTCAATGCTGGTTATTAACTACTGTTATTGGTCATTCTTTTTCATGCAACAGAAATTACTTGAGGCCCATTGAAGGAATACCGTTCCATGAAATTTTCTGCTTCAAGAATGTTGAGAAGCTTCAACTGGTAAGACATCAAAAGATGTTCTTCCCCTTTGTACGTACATTCCAATGATTCCATTCATATCAGCCACTGAATTACAGTTGGATTTATCATGGAACCTGATAATTACATTTAGACACTACCATATGACATATCATAACTCTGATTAACTTATGATTGGCTACAGTCCATCACATCCTCCCTCTTGTTTCACAAACTCCAATTGATAGATCTTATCCTTGCAACTAGGAAGGGTATTAATGCTTAACTAGTTTGTTCAAGAATGTAGCTTAGTTACACTAGGCAAAATTAGAAAATAAAACCTGAGTAAATTTATGTTTTTGCAAGATTACTTGAACGGATGTATTTGCTTCAAAATTTTTTTTTGTTGACAATCTGCTTGATTATGGGAAACAAAGTTACTGTACAATGTACATGATATTTTCAGATATACAAGTAACTGAGATTTTGTTTTTCAAAGAATTTAATTCACAAATTTAAGTAATTAAATAATATTTCCCTGAAAAAAACCATTTTTACCCTCATTAATAGCCATTCCAATAAGTACCTTATACTTAAGGTGTACTTTTGGAAGAGATGAGATAAGTGATATGTCAGGTGGGAGTTGTATTGTATTAGAATAACTGACTCAACATAAGATAGTAAGTGGGTATCAGAGAACAGAATGTATACATGAGGGTATATAAAGGATTAGAGCGGAGCATACTGTAGACTGGGAGAGATTTTGGGCTCTTGATTTTCCTAAAACTTATTTCCTCTTCAAGCTCACATTGAGCTAGGGGTCCACTCTGTTCAGTAGAAGAAGTTTTCTTGGTTGGTCTTTCTTTTCACTCTTGATATCTTTTTGTTCTTCTGTTGTTTTAATTGACTTCTTGCTTGTATAGGTTTTGATTGGAGATCCAAGGAGAACGATTCAAGTTGATCTGTTGGAGTTCCATAATATGTTACATTGTAGTTGCTGTAACAAGAGTGGCAAAGCCCTATTGCCATCCATGCATGATTCTTCAATCATGTAAGTATATTGTATATTGCTTGCAGACATAACAATCTTTCAACTTTTAAATAGTGTTATTGTCTTTGCTCAGATAGTTATTGTTGCTCGGATAACATTTCTGAGCAACAGTAACTATACTGTTAGGTATGGGTTTAGGCCTGAGCCCAACAAATGTGTTGAATGGGATTAGTTATAAGGAGGGAGCATTACAAGGGGGAAATTGTTCAGTATCTTTGCTGTTAGGACCGCCGTACCCGATAAATACCTAAGAGGTTGATTTTATTAGATAACCTTGAACCATTGCATCTCTTGAAACTTTCTATTATTATCTCCTCTTACATGTTAAAACATCACACAAGATTTGAGTTGACATTTTATGTACAGGTATTCACTGGCTCAAGAGCACGGAGATCTTATCAATCTTCATGACTGGTTCCAGTCTTTTAGAACAATTGTTCAACATACAAATAAGCGGAAACAAAAACCGAAGCATACTCCCCAACCCAAGAAGAGAAAAGACACGACTGGATCTGAAGATCAAAATGAAGCGTCAATTCAGTATCCTTTCTATTTTTCATTGCACAATATTACATGATAGCATGAGGTATAATGCTTCAAATTTGCATGTATGCAGAATCTCGCATGCCTATGATAATTTAGTACTGTCATGTTTCTCATTTCCATCTCCTAAGTTGAAGTGAACCATTTTGTTTATCTATGTCACATTCCTTAACTTCGGCTTGTCACAGAGCACGATTTTGCAGGGGAGTTATAGAGCTGCAGGTCACTGGACTAGTAAGAATGCCTAGCAAAAGACGTCCAGATTTTGTACAGAGAATAGCATTTGGAATTTGAATACAAAATTCAGCAGTTTAATTTCCTCTTATAATTTCTTAATTTTCTTATCAAAATGGAATGTAATTCATGTAGTATATTATCTAATTATTCATGATTCAATATGATTTGATAATTTGTTGATTGATATACTCTAGAAGCCTCGCCCCCTCAAAAAAGAAGAAAGGTGTAATGGTAAAAAGAGGTAGAGAGAATTATGACCATGTTTATCAATGATTTATAAAGATTATTATTTTTACGAGTAAAATGTAATTTTATTTAGATTATTATTTTAGCCGTATGTTAAAAATAACAGGTTGCACTCAAATTTAAAGGAAATATTTAAATCGTCATTGTTCATTTAAATTTACTTGAAATCGAATACAAAAGTAAACTAATTAAAAATAACCGATATGAAGAATGATAAATTGCATTTGGGAATTGAGAATTCAACATAAATTTAGAAAAGGTTTTTATGTAAACAAAATATGATAATAATTAAAAGTTTAATTTAATTTCAAATATATTTTAAGGGTGTAACTAAATTAGTCGTTAACTTTATTTCCTTTTATTTTGATAAATATTTTTTAAAATAAACAATAAAATTGAAAGATAATATTAGATGGATTATATGACATAAATATTCTTCTAGTTGTATAATCTAATTAATATTACTTACACAACTCACAATGACACCTCTCGGTCCTAATTAATACATTATCTAATTAATATTATAAATAAATTTGATTTTTTTAATACATTTGATAATTAATATAACTAACTTATATATAAATTATACATATTAATTATCAAATCTATAAAAAAAAACCAGATTTGCAGAAAATGTATTCTTCTAAAAAAAACTCATAATACAACTTATATGTCATTCTAGCAAATATGTTCTTCTGGTAAAAGTTGTTAGTTCAAAATTAACGGCATTTTACACTAATAGTAAATTATTAATTATTATGGCTGTCTATCCTTTTATATTAATTATTCTATTATTTTACAGTTTTTTTAATTTCTTTTTTTTCCATATAATTAATGAATAATATATTTGTAAAATTACCTGTACTTTTATTTTTCAATACATCATTAACTATATTGTCTTAAATTATTTAAAATTGTCAAAGTGGCGTATAACTTAGTAATGAGGTTCTAATTTTTTATTCCAAATCAGGATTTCGAAATTCAGTTGCAAGGTTTTTCTTGGAAGCTATAGGTTTAGGATTGAAGATCATTTGTTGTCAACCACTTCAATTGTAATATTATTTATTTATTTTTAATCTATTTTGTTATGAATCTTTGTAATATGAGTGATTAATTTGAGATGAATTTATTTTAATTTATTTTGAAGGAAATATCTTTTACTATATATTCATGATGATAAAGACAAATATACCAATAATTAATAAAAATGATTTAATGAAAAATATTTTTTATTTCATATTTATATATTTTTTTCAATACATGTGAAATTGTCAAACAAATCATATATTATAAGACTACATATTATATTATAATTTTTTAAAAATAATATAAAGAGATGTTCTTATTTTTGGTTTTTAAAGAAATCTTTCTTAGCTGATGAAATGTTAAGAAGAATGTAATTAATATTTTTAACTTCATATATAATTAAAGTAAAATTTATTATTATTAAATAAGTCAACTACCAATATTAAATACTATTAATTAAATTAGGGATTTACTAGTATATAAATATTAATTAATTTGAAAGTTAATAACATTTATAATAGTGACTAAAATTGAAGTGCAATGTTGATGCAGGATTTAATAGTCAAAAGACACCACTAATAGAGGGGGGGTACTTTTGAGATAGTAGTGGTGTGTTTCATTTGGTAGTAGTGGTGTGTTTCATTTGGCAGGTATATCATGAGATTTTAGTATTTTCTCCACAATAGAGGTTGAAGTTGTTGCTATGAAAGAAGTTATACAAGATACCATCCATATAGAATTGCATCAGGCTATTTTTAGAGTGATTCTCAATTGGTGGTTCAAGCGATTCATAATAGTCATAGTAATTCTGAATTTAGTAAGATTATATTTTGTATTAAGACTTTAGTAGGTTCTCATCATAACTTTTAGGTTAAATTTGTTAAATGTCAAACAAATGCGATTGCTCATATGTTAGCCAAGGCGGACGATTCATATTCTAGGCGTAATATGTTTAATATGGTTCCTTCTTATAATGGTCATTTGTTGATTAATGATATGAATTAAGTTTGTTTGTGTAAAAAAAAAATAATGACTAAAATTTAATGTCATTTTTTTCTCCTTATAACATTGACCAGTGGGAATATTGTTCTATATGTCAATGCATAGATATGTACGATACAAGTTCGTGTATCACTTCAAAGTATAATATTTAAAAAATTAAAAATATTGCCTCAACTTAGAGAGACTCATGACCAATGCAAGTGGAAATTTATGTATTGTCTGATATGCTGTTTTCGAACCATTAAATATTTTTGCTGACAAAAATAGATAAACTTATGAGATTTAACGTCATCTCACATTAGGACAACTCCGAGGACTTTTATGGAAACAAGAATAGTTCACTCTGTCTCATACAAAATGTCTTATTTATAATTTATTTTAGTCTTATAGTAAATAACTTTTTTTACAATACGAATATAATATTTACTATTTTTTATATTACTGAATTCTTATTTATTAATGTTCACTATTTTCAACTACTCTAATAACTATAGTTAATAAGAATATTTTTGTTAGACGATGACATGAAGTCAACAAATTTGATTCTTTCCCTTAGAGTAGACACAAACAAAGATATGAAAATCAAATAATCGGAAAGAACTTAAACAAATAGCACTTAAATCAATTAAATAATTAACAACAAAAAATTAATTAAAATAAAAAATGACAAAATTAAACTAATATATTTATGGAATTTTTATGAGGCAAAAAAAGAAATAATTATAAACCTAATCTAATATTTTTTGTATTAAGTTTTTTTTAATGAATTTTAGTTAAATAAGGCTAAATAAACAAAAAAACTAAGAAAAGAGTAATATTATGGATTGAACTCAAGACCCCAATATTACAAAGAAATTTCCTTACCACCACACTACGCTTATTTGCTATTATATCTATGCTTATATTTAAATAAAAGGGAAATAAATTAGGCTGAAAGGAGGTAAAATTTGGAGAATAATGGTAAAAATGTCTCAATGGGTCTCGAACCCAAGACCTCACATATACCAAACCCACAATTCAACCACTACACCAAATTACTCATTCATGAATATCACCATTCAGATTACTGAAGTAGCAAAGTAATCATTAGGCTTAATAAAAGTTGGGCTTAAGCTAACAAGGCCCACACGAAATTGGTAGGGGGAGATTTAAAAGAAAAAACCCTAGTAGTAACTAGGCATCCGTTCACTATGTTTTTGGAAAGAGATAAACCACTAATTCAAATAATTTTTCCCAATAAACTCAATTAAATTAAAAATCAAATAAGAATAAACCCTCACTTCTCTCACACGATTTTCTCATGGCCTCACCATCCATGTTTAAAACAATAACAACAACTCTCAAATCAACTTTATTCTTTCTCAGAAAAAAAACAATCCCTTCGTCTCTTCTGATGACTCCCTTTCTCTACTGTTCAATAATAACAAAAAAAAACCCGCTCTACTACTCTCTCTTAGTTAGCAACAAAATCATTTTTTTTAATAACCAGGTATTAAATTTTTTTCCCGCAAATAACCACGTTTCGAAAAAAATTACGCAAATAACCATGTTTCAGACGGCTTTCCAAAGGAGGAGCCATCTCACTTGGCGCCTCCACCAAGCTTTTTGCCCTAGGCGCCATCTCACTTGGCTCCTAGGGCAAAATGCTGTTTTTATAAATAATTCGTCCGTTTCTCCGTCATTTCTCACACTTTCTCGCACTGTTTTCTTATTTTTTACTCTGTTATTTGCATCATGACATCACCCATGATTTTTACCAGAGATGGTTACGTTATCTTCTCCGCCACAAAACCTGCGATGAAAATGAAATTCTGGCACATTCACTCCATGGAGCGTCTGAAGCGGGAGTTGTTGCGATGGCTAGATGGAGACATCGTGGAGGGGGGAAAATTTGAAGGATCCAGCGAAGACGAACAGCAGCCTCACATGCGACAGGAAGACCTAATGTTTGGTTGGAGGAAGTCAAAACAGACAGCGACGTAATGTTGATGATGCATGGGTCAAATGATATTGTTTTAACAGTTGTAATTTCGTAGACGGAATATTGTGTTTTTTTTTCTTGTACGCGCAATGTTTATTGTAGCAAATATTGTTAATGAAAAACCCTAATGTTTACAACATAATTAAGGAAAGATTTTATGTAATACAATTTTTATGTGGTCGAGGCAGACGCCCGATTCAGACAATTTTTGCGATTGTGTCTGACCTGACGGCATAAACCACACTTTCTTTCCAGCTTGTCAAGGGAGTCCATTTCAGTTGTGATGCGCTTACTTTTGGGACGACCCTTTTTGTTCCTTCACATTTGGTCATTGTGCCATACTATTTCGCCGTCATATGCAGGCCAATAATCTAGTTTTGCTACCAAAGGGAAGCTGTTGTTGTAAACGTTGAGCAATGTTTCAGATTTGTAAATGTGTGACAGAAGTTGTAGTGCGTCTTGATGGGTATAAGCATACGCGGAAATGACATGAGAGCAAGGCATACGAAAGGCTTGAAACTTGCCACAATCGCACCAACGAGAAGGTAGTACAATCCTATATTCTTGTCTTGGCAGGCCCTCGTTGTGGTTGATTGTCTCTTTCACAATGAAGTTGTGGTTGTGTCGGTCAAACCATATAACCATATGGGTGTTGGCTTTGGCACTTTCTGTCTTAATGTACTTCATGAAGCTTTCACTCCATAGTTGTCCAGATTGCAACACCGCATTCCACATTTCACCTCTTTTGGCAAACAACGAAGCCATCTTAAAATACGTAGATTTTACCAAAGCAGTGACCGGG